GGAAATACTGATGCAGATTAGGGTTCATGTGCTTGATGTAATCCTGAAAAACCTGAACTCAGCACTGGCAGGCCAATGTTTCCTCTGAAACTTGGGTTCCCAGAGTCTGAGCTCCACCCCTGGGAACAGATTCTGCTGCAGTGAGCACTTTCCCCAGTGATCAGACACCTTTGTCTTCCACGAAGCAGGTAACTGCTCCATCTTGCCCAATACAGCAAGAACTCATATTGTCAGGGAGATTCACAAAGGTTGTCTCCATCACCTGCTCCATGATGCTTGAAATGTGAATTGCCAGGGACTGAAATTCAGATGCTCTTCAGGGAAAGACCCTTCCTTCCTTCTCCCTCCCCACACTACACATTCCCTGACCACAAATATCAACCTAACTTCTAACTTTTCATATTTTTCCATTAGCTCTCTCCTGAATATCTGTAGAGTCTTCTCCATCTTTAGGAGTGCTTTAGTGTCAAAGCCACCATTATGTTCCTTGAAACAATTCTGAAACACAATTCACAAGCATCCCATTAGTTTTACTCACTACCCAAACAGATATGTTTCAGCTGAGCAACAGTCTCTCAGATATGACTTCTCACAGCCAGCTCAGCATCCTAGAGAAGCTCTCAATTCTGGCTCAACGGGCTTTGTTTCTTGTTTCATTATGAAACAGTCTTCATTTCCATTCTGTGTACATAAATATGAGCCTCTTCTTGGCTTAGCCATGCACCAGATGAGCCACCACTGCTTAGAGTTGAAATTTTATGCAAACCCGATTTGCTGCTCATTGCCATATCAACCTTACTTAAGCCAGGAACCCCTGCATCAAGTAAGTTAGAGTTGGGTGAGCAGGAGGGAGAATTTCAAAAACTAGCCCACAGTTTGCTTGTGGAAAAAAAAAAAAAAAAGGAAGATCCGTGTGTGTGTGTGCAGGAATTCCTGAGCTGGCAGATTAGGAGGTGGGGGAACTGGAACGAAGAGCTCGCAGATGCTTGGCCAGTAGAGCTGTTGAGTCATCTCAGAACACAATAGGAGCCTGAGAAAAGCTGAAACCAAGCTGACTCAACCACTAACTCTACAAAGAAGACAGAGGACTCTGGGATTTTTCCTATCTTTGCCTTGCTTCCTTGAGCCCTCATTATCAACCGACTGTGACAGCAGCCCGGTCACCCTCTTTTGCTCAATCAGATCAGAAGGGCAGGCAGAATCCTTTCTCCTTGCCTGTTCCCCAACAGGGGCCCTTTTACCCGCAAGGCATGCGTGTTGCCACTGAGCTGCGATCGCTCCCCCTGCATTTGGTATCTTTGCTACGGATGCACTACTACTCCACATTAGTTAGTGTTTGATGAGAACAGTTATGCCCACTCTATTTTCAGAAGCAAAGGAAGAATTAAAATCTGGAGGAGAGAAACTGGGAATGATAAGGACTTTAGGGCAGAAAGTATGCGGAAGAAAGTGAGTTTGCTTAGCTTAGAGAAAAGAAGAGGTGGAAGGAACAAGAGCACCGGAAACCTATTGAAACAAGCTCTAATCCTGCTGACCACATGGACATAACTACAGAGTTTGCTTGGCAACCAGAAGGAAATAGTTTGCCGTTGACTTTTTCTGGGATGTTTTGATTCTACAGTCCACCCACTAGCCCTCAGATTCCTTGGCGGTCTCCCATCCAAATATTAATCAGCCCTGAACCCGCTTAGCTTCCAAGTTCTGACAGTAGTGTTCAAATCCCCCAATGGCTGCCTGAATGTGGGGAAGCAACTGTTTTCCCAAGACATGATGAAAATACAAGAAACTACAGAGGCATAAGGACTGATGAAGAATCCTAAAGCTGGGTCCGGCCAAGGGTCCACCTACCCCAACTTTCTGTGCTCCACAGTGGTCTATCAGATGCATCCAGGAAGTTCACAAACATGGACATGGGAGAAAAACCCTGTTCTACTCTTGTTCCCGGTAGCTGGGATTGAAGGTATGCTCTCTTTGATCCAGCAGGTATGACTTCATCCAGCCCTTGATAGCCCCAACTTTCATGAATTGGTCCAGTCCCTTTCAAAATCATCTAAATTAGTGGCCATTGGCACACTGAATGTCAGTGAACTACAGCATTTAACTAGGCAATTCTGAACCCCCCCGCCCCCAGACTCAAGCATCAATGCAAACTGGGCCAGACAGAAGCAAGTAGACTCCATTTAATCCAATGCGATGTAAGCAGATGTAACCTTTCCTTTCTTGGGTTGAGTGGAACTGATTCATGTTGCAACAAAAGCAATTTTGGATGTGGTAACACTCTTCCTCCTGACTGTGTCAACTACTGAGCAAGAGGAAGGGATCGGCTGGGAAGGTTGTGCAACCTCCTCTCCATGAACCAGTTACCTTTAGGGTTTCACAACTGGGATTTATGATGAATGACCTTGAGAGCAAGTTAGTTCTTCTTGAAGCACGCTGTGCTTGCGGAATGGCGGAATGTTTCCTTGTCCTGAGCCAAGGAGTGTGATACTCAATTCATTTGGAAGTGGGGAATCTCTGTTTACACCCCAAAAAGTTGACCCCTCTTAATTGAGCTGTGAGTTTTTTTAATGGATTTTTTAAAATACCTTTTATATGAAGCTCCAAACTTATAGACTGAGATCATACATGGTTAGTGAAACTGACCAACAGATGAAAACTATCAATCTGAACTTTCGTGGAATGGAAATTGGCATCTTTCATTGTTGAGATGTGACACCCTGGAAGCTGAGATCAAGGGCCGGTGGGGTTGGATGACTGTTTACCTTGGGAGACATAATCCCATGTAGAAGTTCAAAGTCACCACCAGGTGGTAGAAAGGGCCTATGGAGACACACTTCCTCTTTTCTTTTGCTACACTTCTAGTTTTCTTGCATAGGAGGTTCCCAAGCACTACACACAGAACAATAGGCATAGCCCACAGTGAATTTACCCTGCAAAATGGTTATAGGCACTTCCTCTGGACTTTGCACATTCAGAGATCAACTTACATGTTCTCCAAATGTGCTGTTCTGCCCTTTCTGCCTTCCCCAGCCAACTTCCCCAACACAATGTCTGTGTTGCCTGACAAGCAATGGGGCTGCAGCCCAATGATCCTCCAAACCATTGTTTTGGGGTCCCAAATTAGTTGCCACTTCCAGGCTGAGTCTTCACCCAAAGTGGAATTTTCCATCTATCCATCAGTGTCTACAATGGTACCTCTAGTTACGAACTTAATCCGTTCCGTGACTCTGGTTGCAACTCGAGTTGGT